TGAGTGACTGGGTATGATAGTAATAGGCTACTCCTGTATGCATAAAGTCCTACTGGAGACACAATACTATATATCCGTTTTGGCCCAATACATATCAATGCATATACTCTATCCTGAAGTACTGCTCCAAACTTTGCAAGGCATTACATCTTAGTTGGCAATTTAGCCTAGTCTTCAACAGGCCATTCCAAAATCCTATCTGGCTAGCTGCTTCTGGATGATGAGTATGCACCATGAATTTTGTAGCTTCAAGTTCACTGTCACACCTCCTTGGCTATCAGTGGGTTCCTTAGTTTCAGGTATGTCAATGGATAAGGCACTCTGCAAGCTCTCAGATGGTGGTGCTGCTGGAGGCAAAGTAGTTGGGGAAGACAAGCTCATTTACAGCATATATCAATTCTGGTAAGAACAAATTGAAGCCCATTCCAAGGTAAAAGGGATCTGATGCTGAGGTAGGGGGATCACTTGAGGTCAGGGGTTCAAGACCAGCCTGGCCAACAAACATGGTGAATCTCTGTCTCTACTAAAATACAAAAATGCTGGGTGTGGTGGCAGGTGCCTGTAATTCTAGCTACTAGGGAGGCTGAGGCAGGAGACTTGCTTGAACCCAGGAGGCAGAGGTTGCAGTGAGCCAAGATCATGGCACTGTACTCCGGCCTGGGATACAGAGCAAAACTCCACGTCAATTAAAATAAATAAATAAAAAGTGGAAGCCTTTCAGGTCACCTAATACATGTGTTGGAACAGTATTCCCAGGTGCAGAATATGTTACCTCCAAATCCAAAGAGGCCCACCAGGACCTGTTCCAATTTCTTTGGGATTAGTGGGTGCAAGGGGGAACAACTTTCTTTTACCTTTGGGTGATGTCCCCAAACCACTGGACCCCTTCATCCATTTGATTAATGCCCATATCTTCAGGTTTCTGTACTGCCTTAGTAAGAAGTCTTAGTAGGATATCTATGGCCCTTGTCACTTGCTCCTCACTGGGTACTATTAGCATTTGTCATCAATCTGGTGGCCCATCATGATGGTTGGGTAAAGTTCCTGTGGACTACACTGTGACAGAGATAGGCCTCAGGATCCCACTCTCTCCCTGTATGAGCCACGACTTTGACTCAGGGGACTTTTTGAGTCTGCACTATTGGTCTCCTTTGCATTACTGTCACTGTTATAAACAGATCCTTGGCCTAATTTTCAGCTTAGCTAGATGCAGAATCACCTTCATAATTTATTAAAAATCAGTTATTATATGTATCTAGGTCTATTTCTGGACTTTTTTTTCCCTTAGAAATTCATCCTCATATTTCTGGAGTTTCTATTGTGCTCTATTGATCTATTTGTCTATATGCTGATATCATATCATCTTGATTACCATAGCTTTAGAAAAAAATTGGGGGTCTCCTCCTTCTGCCTTGGAGCCCCCCTCCGTCTGTACGGGTGAGCCTCTTCCCTCTGAGTTCTCTTTTCTTGCTTGCCAATTAAACTCTCCACTCCTTAAAACCAGTAAAAAAAGAAAAAAATCTTAAAATTATACAAGTATTCCAATTTTATTTTTTCAAAATTGTTTTGGCAATTCTAAATCCCTAGCATTTCTATATAAACTTTAGAATCAGTTTGTTAATTTGTACTAAAAAAACAAAATAGGCCAGGCATGGTGGCTCACCCCTGTAATCCCAGCACTTTGAGAGGTGGAGGAGGGTGGATCACCTGAGGGTAAGAGTTGGAGACCAGCCTGGCCAACATGGTGAAACTTGGTCTTTACTAAAAATACAAAAATGGTGATGGGGAGGAAGGCAGCAAATCACACTGCCATGTGTGTACCTATGCAACAATCTTGCATGTTCTTCACATGTACCCCAAAACCTAAAATGCAATAAAATAAAAAAAGAAATAGAAAAAAAAAATACAAAAATTAGCCGGGCGTGGTGGTGCCCGCCTGTAATCCCAGCTACTCCAGAGGCTGAGGCAGGGTATTCACTTGAACCCAGGAGGTGGAGGTTGCAGTGAGCTGAGATTGCACATTGCACTCCAGCCTGGGCAACAGGGCAAGACTCCGACTCAACCAAAAAAAAAAAAACCAAAAAAAACCAAACAACTTTTATGAGTTGTTTCCATCTGTGTCATCTGGTAAACTGTTGAAAGAAAATTTTGCTCAAAAGCAGAACAGCAGCTGCTGCTTCTTAGCACTCTTTATTAGGGTTCAAGGAGTATTGGTGGAAAGTGGCCTCTTTAAGTGGGTGCTTTTTGTGGTCCTCTCACTGGAGCCAATTGCCTGAGGCAGCTAAAACTTGGAAACAATGTGCCTCACTGTCATAGCACACTCACCTCTGCTGCTGAAATGGTTTCCCATCACTTTGCTAATAGGTACAACCTGTGAAGGGGTTTGAGGCGGGGAAACGGCAACTCGGGAAAGAACTCCAAATCTTTAGCTCTCCTAGTATATTAAAATAACCGTTAGGAAGAGGAGAAAGTACTTTTGTCATCTATTGTTTCGGGGAACCTTCAATAGGAACAACAGACAGACATCACCACGGGTGTATTTCTATTCAACACAAGAAAAAGTTTCTAATTGGAGCTGTCCAGCACGAAAATGGACTAAGGAGTGCATTTTCTTTCTCTGATCCTGACTCCACTGTGACAGGTACTGTAGACTAGACAGATTGTGTCGTAGTATGAATTTAGGTTAGATCAATTATATTCAGGGGAAAAGGCAGGGAAGGAATATCAGAATCTCCAAGAAGCTGATATAGTTTGAAAAAAATATATAAATGTCACACTTCAGGTTTTCTTGTGTTTAATTTGAAACGTCAAATAACATTAAAGGATAGCCTTTGATTTGCTTAAACAAAGTAGTAATAGTTGACGTTCCTTCCAAATCACTTTTTTGATCCTCTAAGAGGCTTGCCTATGCCTTGCAGATCTAGCTCCACCCATATGACATTACATTCTCTAAGGATCCAGGATCAGCAAGGGGTCACAATGTCCCAAGGGTTTCGGTCCCGGTGCTCTGCCTGTCCCGCCCGTGCACCATGCTTTTGCCTATCCCTGTTTCTGCAGTTTTTAGTCTTCTCACCAGGGACGCCACTATCAATCTCCTCAGTGTCTTTCGGTTCCATTCCAATCCGCTCATGCCCCCTCCCATCTCCGCTTGCCCCAAGACCTACTTAGCATTATTTCAATCCCACGACTTAGTGGGTCCCATCTCACCCAGGCTCCCGCAATCCTCGCCTTCTACGAGTCAGAGCTGTACTACACTCTGCGCAGGCACCCCCGTGCTACTCACGGAAGCGGGACCATTAGCTCGCCCTTTCCTCCTCGCCACCGACACGCACCCACTGGGTCGGGCCGCCGCCTTGCGGGGAGTCTTAAGGGTCGGCGGGGATCAGGGATGGGCCCCGGGGGCGCGTTCGCAACTTTGGTCGCAGTAATTGCTGTTATAACGACTAGAGACGCCCAGTGAATTAGCACGGAGGGCCGTAGGACCGGAAAAAGACGTGGAAAGCCGCGAAAACGAGCCTTCGACACCTGTATCCGCAGGTCCAGTTCCTCACCCGTGGCCCTCACCAACATCCGGGACTCTCATCTGGGGCCCTCACCAACATCCGGGACCCTCATCCGGGGCCCTCATGCGGGGGGCGGGCCCTCATTCGGGGCCGGGCACTCGGTCGCCGGAAGTGCCACCGAGAGCGCCGGCCTCCTGGCTGTCTAGAGCGACCCGGGAAAGGCTGTGGTGTACCCGAGCGCGAGTGTGTCGGTGACAGGACCGCGGCCAGGCCCGCCCCTCCCCTCGGTGAGTACCCGGAAGCCGTTCTGGGGTCGCAGCGGGGCGGCCGCTTGTTTCGCCTTCCCGGGAGAAAGAGGCGGCGTCCGGCAGGGAGAGACAGTGGTTTCCTTCCCCGAGGGTGCGCGGAGGCCCGAATGCGAGGAGGGCCTATTTCTTTTCAGCTCTGGTTCACCTCGCGGGCTGAGGGCCCCGCAGTCAGGAGCCGGCGACCGTGCCTTGGTGCGAGCTGGTCTGTATGGCCCCCCTGGCCTTTTTGGGACTGTGCTTTGGCCTAAAAGGGAAGTGGGAGGAGGGCAGCGCCGGCCGAGGCCTAATGAGGACCGAGCTGGAGCTAGGCGAGGGTGGTGGGAGGGGGACGGCACCCTGATGCGTCCTTGGGCCTGAAGGACGCCGCTCAAACCTGTTCGAACCGCAGCTCTTCCCTGCGTTGCTCTCAGGATTGCAGGAAAAGGCCGTCCCAGCCAGTCCTAGTTAGCGAAGGGCCTGACCCCAAAATTTAAAAATGAAAATTTTATTATTCGCCAAGCCCGTTTAATAAATCAGAGTGGGCTGACGGTGTTAACAAGACATCCCTAAGGGGCCTGCCGTTTTATTTACTTATTTAAATGAGTTTATTTATTTATTTAAACTGGTAATCGCGGGCCGGGCTCGGTAGATCACGCCTGTAATCCTCGCACTTGGGGAGGCCAAGGCAGGAGGATCCCTGGAGGCGAGGAGTTCGAGTCCAGCCTGGGCAACATAGCGAGACTCCCATCTCTACCAAAAATTAAAATGAGTAATCATAACTTGCATTTTTCTCTGGGGACAAACTTAAGTCTCCTAAGAAGTTTGTAAATTTTAAATATTTTGTTTATTTGAGACAGGCTGTTATTGTCATACAGGCTGGAGTGCAGAGGTGCAGTCATAGCCCACTGCAGCCTCTATCTCCCAGGCTGAAGCGATTCTCCTGCCTTGGCCTCTGGAGTAGCTGGAACTACAGGCATGGACTACCACACTTGGCTAATTTTATTTATTTATTTATTTATTGATAGAAACAGAGTTTCACCATGCTGTCCAGGGTGGTCTGGAACTCCTGAGCCTAAGGGATCTGCCCATCTCAGCCTCCCAAAGTGTTGGGATTACATGCTTGAGCCACCGCACCCTACGAGTTTTATAAATAGTTTAAACTTCCCACAGAAAGCTTTACACTATTAAAGTGTACTGTGTTGATTTTTTTAATGCCACGAATTCCAAATTAGAGGAGTTCAAATAACCTGCACATTCGGGGGCCGGGCGCGGTGGCTCAAGCCTGTAATCCCAGCACTTTGGGAGGCCGAGGCGGGTGGATCACGAGGTCAAGAGATCGAGACCATCCTGGTCAACACAGTGAAACCCCGTCTCTACTAAAACTACAAAAAATTAGCTGGGCATGGTGGTGCGTGCCTGTAATCCCAGCTACTCAGGAGGCTGAGGCAGGAGAATTACCTGAACCTGGGAGGCGGAGGTTGCGGTGAGCCGAGATCGCGCCATTGCACTCCAGCCTGGGTAACATGAGTGAAACTCCGTCTCAAAAAAAAAAAAAAAAAAGAAACCTGCACATTCGGATCATAAGATTTGGTTCTTAAGTATTTAAAGCTGAAGCATAACCACTTTTTTCTTTTCTTTTCTTTTTTTTTTTTGAGATGGCTTCTCGCTTTGTTGTCCAGACTGGAGTGCAGTGGTGCGATCTTGGCTCACTGCAACATATACTTTCTGTGTTCAAGCAATTCTCCTGCCTCAGCCTCCCGAATAGCTGGTATTACAGACCTGTACCACCACACCCAGCTACTTTTTGTATTTTTAGTAGAGGTGGGATTTCATTATGTTGGCCAGGCTGGTCTTGAACTCCTGACCTTAAGTGATCCGCCCATCTCTGCCTCCCTAAGTGCTGGGATTACAGGTGTGAGCCACTGTGCCTGGCCCCATTTTTCTCTCTGTTACTTATTTAGGGTGGTTAATCATTATCAACTAATTTTTATTGAATATCTACAGTGTGCAAAATACTTTGCAAAGTCCTGAGGATATAAAATGATAAGTTGTTTTAACTTATTACAGTGATTTCTCTTAATCTTACCTTGCAGTGATGGTCATTGTCCTCCAGAGCAGTGATGGAGGAAATACCAGCCCAGGAAGCAGCAGGATCACCAAGGGTCCACTTTCAGTCTTTGGAGACCCAGTCTGAGGGTCTCTCCCCAGAGCCTCAGTTTGTGCAGGACACCGACATGGAACAGGGACTCACTGGGGGTAAGGCAGAGACAACCCATCTATCTAGGCAATGAGTGTGTGTGGAGGGGCTTCTGAGGGGGCTCCTGGGCCTGGTGTGAGAGAGGCCAGGAACTGGAATGAGAACATGGCCCCTAGAGGGAGGGATGAAAGTGGGGGCAGCTGTGACTCAGTTCAGTCCTAGTCTGAGCCCCTCTATTAAGGACAGCTCATCTTTCTTAAGTAAGCAGAGTGATGGCTACTTACTTGTGTGGTGGTTTTTCCTTCAGGCAACCTTCACTTCATCCCAGTTCTCACATCCAGAATAGTTTCTTTTGCCACATCTCACAGTCCTTTCCTGGCTCTCACTTCCTCTTAGATTCAGGACCTTTCCTTCCCCCTGTTCCCTTCACTTAGTTTCTCTTTGCTTTGTCACCTGCCATTCTGTTGCAACTGCAGTGTTTCCTGACTAGTCTAAATTTGGTCAAAGGAAGCAACTGTTTAATTCCTTGGTTGAGCACAGTGCCTGTGTCGATGTATACATACTATATTTTGACTACACAGTCACACTTTTCTGTATCATATAGGTAGGTTGGTCTTTTTTTGTTTTGTAAGAGCTGTGTCCTAGATTGCCTGTGGCCAAATAACTTGTGTGTCACTTACACAGATTGAGTGCCACAGTATGTAGAGGGCTGTGAGGCATTGTGGAACTGTGGAAAAGATGGCGAGGAAACAGATGACCCTTTCTTGTTCTTGGGGGTCTTACACACTGGTTAAGACAGTGCCCATTCACAAGAGAAAGGCTTATCAAGTGTATAGGACAGTGCCTGGAAATGGTCAGAAGTCTGCTAAATAACCCTAGCCCAGGACAAGTCCCCACAAGTCTATGCTTTGCCCATCTGCAAAACAGGTATAGTCTTACTCTTCTATAAGAGGACTGTCATGTGGTGAAGATAAAGTGAAATAGAAACTTTCATAAGAAAATCCTGTATCACAAGTCTAAACATGCATAAGGCACGCAAGTACTAAGACAGAGCAGAGTAGACACACCCAATACCTGATAAATGTTCATTGGTTTTACTAGAGTATTGAGGAGGGTCCTGCTGACACCACTTGGGCTGGAGAGGCCTCTTCTGAAAGGGAGCCCTGGGAAAGGGCTGCTCTCACTCTTCACTCCTTTCTCCTCCCTCAGCTCCACCTGTTCCCCAGGTGCCTGCTCTTCCCCATGAGGGAAGCCCAGGAGACCAGGCAGCTGCGCTCCTGACAGCCAGGTACCAGGTGAGCTGAGGAACCCTCTGCTTTTCCTTGAGGAAATCAGGGACTATTGCTACTGATGGAGTGTGGCCTCTCACTCATTCCATCTGTAGACCTTGCCTGGAATTTTTTTCAATAGCAGTCTCCAGTTTGGGAACTGATCTTCTTTGGAGACCTGGACTTCACATAAACCACCTTCCATCTCCCCAGTGCCAGGAGCAAACTCTGTTTTCTCTTTGTCCATGGTTGTGTGGCGGGTGCTTATTAGATGTTTAAGGGTATGGGCTTTATTCCATAGGTTCTAATCTGTTCTCCCTCCTCCTCAACGTAAGTACACACTGGATACCCTCTCTATCATCTTCACTCTCTGGCCATGGTGCTACAGTGGTCTCATTCCCCAGAGCAGCCAGGATGTGTTATTTCAGGAGTTTGTGACATTCGAGGATGTGGCTGTGCACCTTACTCGAGAGGAATGGGGATACCTGGACCCTGTTCAGAGGGACCTCTACAGAGAAGTGATGTTAGAGAATTATGGGAACGTGGTCTCACTGGGTAAGGACTTCCTTATTATTCAGTTTATCTATTTGGATTTCTTTACTTTCTTGTTTCTGCATAAGTATAAGGTCCCTGAGAAGGTCTGTAGAATGTGGCTTAGATTCTAGGTCTTAGAACCTCCGAATCCCTATCTTTCATGTCATCTTCTCTGGGAGGGGTAATTAAGGTTCGTTTGGGGGTGCCAAGAGGAGGCGTTCTCCTCCTTATTCCTAGTTCATGTTTCTGGCTATTGTGGGGCATCTGTTCCCTTTTAGCAAAGGGAAACTTTCTTGTGCTTTGCTTGAGTTCTCATCCTTCTTATCTTTTCCATTTTTTGGAGGAGAGACCCTAGGGCGGCCTCCCAACCACCAGCTGGACACTTTCCTTTTTAGTATCACTGTGTCTCTGTATTGGAGAATTTCCCATTTTGCCAGGAAAAAGAAATGCTGTTTAAAAAGATAGGCTAAATTCCTTCTTGTTGAGTAGTCCCTCACCCCTTAAGATCCCCAGATGTATCTCCAGGCAGGCAGAACTTGAGACGTCATTTGAAGGCATGACTCACTGTGAGTACGTTTCAGTGAGTCACCCAGATGGTAATCCCATGTAACCACACCCAGGGCAGCAGAAGTCTCAGACCTTTACGCCACACTGAGGTGGGTTCAGTGCTTTAACTCATGTCTCTCCCTTGTCATTTTGAAAGGTACAGTAGGAAGCTGGGATTAGGCAAGCTGTAGTGCTGCCGGGAAGCATCAGTGGGGTTTGTCGGCAGCTCCCTTGGTGTGAGCATTGTTCTTGCTCTTTAGTTTTTTTTTTTTTTTTTTTTTTTGTATTTTATTTAATTTAGTTTTAGCTTAGTTTAGTTCAGTTTAGTTAATAGTTTTATTTTTAGAAGGAGTTTCAGTTTTGTTGCTCAGGCTGAAGTGCAATGGCGTGATCTCAGCTCACTGCAACCTCTGCCTCCCGGATTCAAGTAATTCTCCTGCCTCAGTCTCCTGAGTAGCTGGGTTTACAGGTGCATGCCACCACCTGGCTGATTCTGTATTTTTAGTAAAGACAGGGTTTACCATATTGGTCAGGCTAGTCCGAAACTCCTGACCTCAAATGATCCACCCTCCTCGGCCTCCCAAAATGCTGGGATTACAGGCATGAGCTACCATAACCATCCTCCTTTTTCTTTAGTTTCTTGCATGCTTCTGCGCTCTTCTTTTTGTGTGTGTAAATACTGAATCACACATTTTCCTTTGGCTTTGTCTATGCTGGTGGCATCCAGGGCATTGCTTTGTCTCCCTGATTATGCTCAGGATTCACGGTCTTCTTATCTGTGGGGAGGTAGCCTGCCCACTGGGATGGTTTTTAGTGTGTTTTCCATTCCCGGCTCTTTGATCTTTGTAGGCATACTTCTCCGCCTTCCCACCACCCGGATTCATAGTGTGAATTCCTGTCCGGCCCTGAGTCATACCCAGGCAAGTGCTTTCTCTGGAGAAACACTTGCAGTCCTTACAGCAGGAATCTCCAAGAGATGGCCCAAGTATCGGCTTCCCATCGATATTGCTCATCCCTGCTCGGAAACTACTTTTCCACGATTGTGAGATACTAAACATGACTGATGGAATAGAAGCTCCCCAGGATGCCACCACTACGTAAAATCACAGCTCCTCAAATTACCTCTGCTGAATTTCTAATATTAGGGTCCAAGGAAGCCCTTTGTTGCAACCAGATGCATTTTGAATCCAGTTCATTCAGAAACCATGGTTGGTGGTCGTTATCTGCTTGTGTTCTGAGAAACCAGAAAGTCCAACTTCAGCTCTTCAGTTACGGTTTTTTCATAGGATTTTAGAATGTGAAATTTATGCTGTGTGCCCCATCTTCTGTGTAGCAGATACAACCTGCCCTGTATGGCGCCTAACTCTCCAGTGAACCCTGGGCTTTCCTCATGCTTGACATTCTGGTTTCTCCTTCCTTGAAGTCTCTGTGGAACTCTTCAAGGTCGTACCTTCCTCCCCTTTATTCTTTGTGGTTCTGTACAGATTGATGCACTTAAGTTGCCTTTCCTGATTAAGTGTTCCTTACCCTGTCCTTGGTGGAGGGGAAAAGGGAGGGCAAAGAAGTTAAAATTATTTCAGGGCATCCAAATGAATGTCTACTTAATAACTTTGTAAACTGTAAAGTGACATATATATATATATAATTGTTAAGTACTGTTAATTTTATCTAATAATTACAGAGTTTCCAACAGTTAACCTGTCTACTTTTTGGAGTAAAGAAACTTTGTAGCAGTTTAATGCAGTCTAATAGCATTTTATGCTATAGACTGAACTTTATCCCATTTCCTCTCATGTCTGCACATACACTTAACACACATGCACACTTATACAAGAGACACACACGCATGCATGCATGAAACTCTCCTCTCCTACTCATCTTGCCTTTTTTTTTTTTTTTTTTGAGACAGAGTCTTGCTCTGTTGACCAGGCTGTAGTGCAGTGGCACGATCTCAGCCCTCTGCAACCTCCACCTCCTGGGTTCAAGCAATTCTTCTTTCTCAGCCTCCTGTGTAGCTAGGACTACAGGCGAGCGCCACCATGCCTGGCTAATTTTTGTAATTTTAGTAGAGATGGGTTTCACCATATTGGCTAGGCTGGTCTTGAACTCCTGACCTTGTGATCCACTTGCTTCAGCCTCCCAAAGTGCTGGGATTACAGGCGTGAGCCACCACACCCAGCCCTCATCTTGCTTTTGTGATCAAGTTAGCAGCATCTCCTTAGCAGTTACTTTTACAATTCTTGGAAAGTCATTTTCATATTTGTGGGTTCGGCAAACTCCACCTGAAATTTAACCCATTTATGCCTAGTGTTCCATTATTGGAACACTAAGCTTGCAAGAGTTATTTATATCCTGCTGCTCAAGGTCATCACCAAGGTCTGATTTTTCACAAAAAAATTTGCAGCCTCCTGCATAACTGGGTTGTTTATACATTTATTAATTTAACTTACTGTTTGGGGTTGTAAGATTTTATAATTCAGTCCTACTTTCCACTTCACATAATTTTCCCATGGCAGGAGCTCCAGATTGTATTTCTCACAGACATCAGAACATTGGCGTTTTGCTTAAGTACTTCCACTATGTAGCAGTAAATATACAGAGTACAAATAACTGAGTAAAGAAGTTGGTAATAAGTAATTTTCATTACCACATTTAAAAAGTAACATATTTCATTGATGATGAATGAACAATTTGCTTCTGGGTCACTATCC